CCTTCCCACTCTCAAGTCTGTCTTTATCAGCAGTGTGAAAACAGACTAACATATAAAGACAGTGATAAAATAACACATTTTTATTTTCCTTTTCTTTTTCTGAGACAAAATCTTGCTCTGTCCCCCAGGCTAGAGTGCAGTAGTGGGATCTTGGCTCACTGCAACCTCTGCCACCTGGGTTCAAGCGATTCTCCTGCCTCAGCCTCCCCAGTGGCTGGGATTACAGTTATGCACCACCACGCCTGGCTAATTTTTGTATTTTTGGTAGAGATGGGGTTTCACCATGTTGGCCATGCTGGTCTTGAACTCCTGACCTCAAGTGATCCACCTGCCTCGGCCTCCCAAAGTGCTGGGCATACGGGCAGGAGCCACTGTACTCAGCCAAAAGAGCTGTTTCTTTAACCTGCTGACCCTTTCCTCCAAGCTTGGTGTGGAAAATGTAAAAGCCGTTGCTGTCACAGGGGCCCCAAACCTTGCCACAGCCCACTGCCTCTGCAGCAGGTGGGGGCCTGGGCTCTGTAGAGCACAGGATGAACATAACTCACGAGGTGATTCCCAGGGTTTTTTTTTTACTGATTTAGCCCTGGATGATGCTGCATTTCCACCTTGACAAGGGAGAGAAGGTTCAGGCTTCTGGTGTGGTAGGAGTTTGTGGTTTGAGGTTTTGCCCAGCTCCGTGACCGACATTTCATGAGTTCTGTTTTGGGACTGTGTTGTCTGCAGAAGTGCTGTTTCCTGAATCTCTCTCACTGTCCTTGGTTATAGTGAAATTGAGCTTTTACATGAAACAAACCTCAAGGCCTTTCATTTGATACAGCAAAAGTTCCATCCCACCCTTCCTGTACAGAGACAGCGAGGTCTATTTTTCCTAATTCTGCTTGTATTTACACTAGTTTTATTCTCCTCAGACCTCTTAGGAGCTGTAGGAAGCCAAATCCCAGCAAGACACATGAGACTGGTCTATGTTTTCCATGGTGACAGGGCCTTTGCCTTGGTTAAAGGCACATGCGTTGATGGTTTAGGGCACATTTGTCCAACCAGCACTTTGGGAGACCGGGGTGGGCGGATCACCTGAGGTCAGGAGTTCAAGACCAGCCTGGCCAACATGGTGAAACCCCATCTCTACCAAAAATACAAAAATTAGCTGGGCATGGTGGCATGTGCCTGTAATCCCAGCTACTCAGGAGGCTGAGGCAGGAGAATTGCTTGACCCCGGGAGGCGGAGGTTGCAGTGAACTCAGATCGTGCCACTGCACTCCAGCCTGGGTGACAGAGCAAGACTGTGTCTCAAAACAAACAAAAACCTGTAAACTTTCTTTTTT